GCAAAGTAGTAATGCGTGTTTGATACCTTCATTTCTTTACATTAAATCATTCTGGGATGTTTGCTGAAATTGATTGGATGTGGCACAGCCCTACCGTGAACATGTTCCACCAGCCGCCACTGCCTTGAGTTCAGAGTTTGATTTTTGTTGCGTTCAGGTGTACTCTCATGTGTGGGAGTTTTCTGTTCCTGGAAAACAGAGTCAGAGTGATGCATCTTATCGCTCTGACGTCTCCTTTAAAAAACAGACTGATTTAAACTCAGTGTTTGAATCAGAAGCTCTGATGCTGTCAGAATGCATTATTGATCTGCTCTGTTTACTATCAGTGTTTCTTTCATCTTCAATAAATAATAATCAATAAACTTTGATCTGATCAGATTCATATTTTCAGACTTCAACAGCAAACAAACTGAGGTTGAGCTTCTGTTTGCAGTTTTGAATCTGCTGTTCAGACAGAACGACCCAACCCTCCACGACAAGCCTCAACACAGACACACACACAGACACTCTCTCACACACACACACACACACACACACCTCTGTGTTTAAACAGAGGAAAGTCACGCCATGACTCCTTCATCACTCCTGTGATGTATCAATAAAAACACGCTGCAGGAGGATCAGTGACGTCTGTGGGCTCGTTTGTACATTTCAGATTGAAGGGTCTTCTGTTTCTTTTTCCATGAATCATATTTTAATGTTTGTGACTCAGCTGTCTGTATCACTTCATCACTGCTCAACACAAGAAACTAAAAAAAACAGAAAAATAAAACATTTTCTTATGTTTCAATAAAATCTATTTTAACCTGTTTGACAAAGTACAAACAAACAATAATGGCTGATTATTATTATCCAGCTGCCATCTTTATTTGGGTAAAGGAATGAATGGGAGACCTCGTGAAACAGGATGAAATATAATTCAAAAACAGAAAAATACTTAAAAGTCTGAAAATACAGAGGAATCTAAACAGAGACAAAACTATTATAAAATTAAGACATTTAATCTCATCACAATTATGAAGCATTCAGTCAAAAAAAGTGACTTACAAAACAATATCAATTTGTGACAAAATGAGTCAAATTCTTTACTTTTAAAAAACAAATGAGATTAAAATGATAACATTTCCCATGAGTGAGTGCTTTTATTGTTCTCATAAATATGAATTCTTTTATTTCTCATGACCTTCGTGCTGTGAGCGTGTCGTTGAATTCAGTCTTCTGGTTTCACTTGAGAACAAAACTTTAATCTTTAAAGTCTTTAATCTGTGATTTGAAGAAGTTTTGATCTTCAATGTCGAATTCAAATATACGAACAAAAACTGATCACACGAGAGGAACAAATACGCCTCAAAAGTTTCATTTTCAAACATTAAACTATTTTATTTTACCTTTCTGAAATATATTCATACCGTTACAGATGTTTGTGCAGAGATAATTCCCTCTACATGTTGAAACCTCTCGTCTCGTTAAGATGACATCATGCTGCTGCTGGATGATTGATGCGTGTTTGTCGTGTGAACACACATTCAGCTAACGTGAGCACACGCACAGACACAGACACACACATGCTTACACACAGACAGACTCACAGAGACAGACACATTCACACAGACACACTCACACACATGCTTACACAGACACAGACACACTCACACAGAGACAGACTCATTCACACAGACAAACACACACATGAATACACACACACAGACACACACACACACACACGTGTCCAGGCCTGTTGTGTTCTGTGACTCAGTCTTTGGTTTGTGTCTGTGTGACATCACACGTCTCCTCTGTGTGTACATTTACTCAAGTACTGTAGTGTACCTTTGAGTTTTTTGTACTTTCCTTGAGTATTTCTATTTCATGGACTTTATACTTTTACTGCATAATCAGTACTTTTGAGTACATTTTACAATGTACTTCTACATTAATTAGGATCTTGGAGGCAGTGTTGTACTTGTAAAGGAGTATTTTTTTTACTTTAAGTTATGTATCCGAGTACTTCTTCCACCTCTGAATACGATTCAAGATTAGGATCTCACAAATCTGTTTTTTTTGCCTTCAGTGAATGCATCATGCTTCCAAATAAGTTCTTTAAAAGACTCTTTAATTCTGTGTACTTTGCACAATGCAAATACTTTTGATTGCACTGCCCTAATACATCAAAGTTTGTAGTATCTCTGCACTGTGTACAATATATCACATTACATATCTGTATAATATATCAACATGTTCATACTTATTCTAAATCACCTCATTTTATTTATGTATTTTGTACCCACACACTCCCCAAAAATGTTCACACATATACTTGACTTTGAACAGAATGTTGTGCAGCTTCAGTAACAGTGCGACACCCAACCAGGAGAGCTGGTCGTAGTTTCCACTCTGATTTCAAAATAAGAGCGCACTGCCCTTCAAAATAATGAAGTATGTAATGCAAAATAATGATTATGTAATGCATTTCTATGTTGTCATGTTTTAACTGCAGATTGTCTGAGAACCATTGTGGTCTATTAAAAGCTTTTTACAGGTCCTACTTTTGTGCATTGCTGCCTTGAAGCTTTTAATCCTGTTCAGCTGATCAAGTTACGTTTTATTTGTTGTTTTAATGAGTTTAACAGCAGCTAAAAATGTTTACTGCACACTGGCACATCTACAGCCATCAACATCAATCTGCAGTGTCTTCTGGGAATAAATAAATGAAACCTGCATTTGAAAACCACGTCGGAGTCAACAGGACCATTTCAGCTGGAAAACATCATTTTAAAATATAATCTATCAGGTTATTATCTGCAGAGTGTGAAGTCTGTGAATGAATGAAGGCAACAGAAGCTGGTTTGGTGGGTCAGCTTGCTACAACTTTAATCCAAACATCGCTCTGCATATTCAATACATCATCACCTCTATGTAGCCCCCTCTCATACCTCTAAACAATTTTAACAAAATAAGTCTAGTAGCACATCATTCAGTAACATTTTATTTTACAGTTCTCTCTGTGTACTGTAGTGTTTTTTTCTCCTTAAACATCAGGAATATTTGTTCGTTGTCTTTTCATTTATTTACTTATGTATTTATTTAAACACGGAGACGAGACAGAGTACACGAACGATGACGAACGGTCCAGAGTGTGAACCAACACACACGCGCACACACGTTTCAGCAGAGGTCTGAAGTGTTTGGAGAGAAGCTGATCATTCTAGCAGCTCATCACTCGACAGGAATAAACATTTTGTGATGGATGAAAAACTGAGACGAGCAAGAGGAGCAGACGTTCCCTAAAATCAAATGAGACGCAGATGGAGTCACATGACTTTGATTTACAGTTTGGTGTCCACAAATTTGACCATTTTGACCTCCAAATCGAAATACATCAGAGACTTCAGAAAAACACCAGCTTGTCTGGTATAGTTATGCTTTTAGGGTTTAGAAGGAAAAATTGTAATTTTAAAACCTATGTCGCCCGAACAGCCTCCCTCTCTTTGTGTTAATGAACATTACAAACAGCACAGTTTTAACGGACACATGAAGTCAAAGTTTCGACGTCGTCGTCTATGAGACGTGGACGTGGCTAAAAACAATCGTATAGTTGATGTGAACGGTTGTGGTGAAGCCCCAATAATAATTTGACATAATGTCAAATCAAGGTCCACTTACGAGCTATTTCCTGAGCTTTTAACCACCATCTCACAGGCTTCTTCAGCAGATAAGAGTTGAAAGTTCAGGAGTAATCTCGTAAGACATTGAGGATCACTGACTTAGAGCTTCTCTCCACACTGACAGACCTCTAGCAGTCCGTTAAACCAGGTGTGTGTGTGTGCTTATCAGAGTGTGTGTGTGTGTGTGTGTGTGTGTGTACGCACACAAACTGTGGTGTTTGCTAGTTACATCAGAGGCACTTTGAGCCCCTTTTCTGTGCCCCAAAAAAATCTAAACAAAAATAAAATAACCCAACAGAAAATAAATCAGATTTTCATTTTGAATAATTTGGCTTCAAATGTTTTAACCCCCGACCCCCAAACTCCCCCCGAAAACAAACAAACAAAAAACAACAGAGAAAAACGCCGTGTCAGCAGGACTTCCTGAAATCCACCTGAACGAGAACACTTTCCAGCAGACCGACAGTTTATATTCACTGTGAAGGAGTTCTTACATGTGGATTCACTTTATACTCTTAAACTGAAACACAGGAAGTGTTTAGTTTGTTTGAGAATGTGCACCATGAAGGCAGAACATCAACTGGAATATCAAAGTTATTAAAACTTTATTTTGACGTTACATTAGAGCTGTTACCACGACAGTCTTTACTGAGCTTCAGTGGAGCATTTCATCAAACAAATTCAATTATAATCTGCTTTGCCAAGTTAATAATTCCTGGAAATATGCAATTTTTTGGGTAATAAATTGAAATAGAAAGATTTAGAGTAAACTGGCACCAAACATGCAGCTAAAGATCAAAAAGTAATCCTACAGATGATAAATGAGTTGATGAGTCAAATTAAAGCTGAATATGGAGACCAGTGACACCTGTGAGAGTGGATCACGTGACCGAGGCTGCTGGGAAAGTGTTGCATTCGCTGACGGTGGGACAAGGCGGCGTGAAGCTCTCACCCTCTGGCAGGTGATTTGTGTGGAAGCTCGGCCTGCTGGATTTTAACGCCAAGTTAACCCAGAAGATCAGCAGGGAGACGGAAACCAAACATAAAGAAGCATCCCCCCCCCCCCCCCCCCCCCCCCCCCCCCCCCACCCCCGCAGCCGAGAGAGAGCAGAGAATAAAAACTACTAAACACTCCGCCGCAGAAAAAAAACACAAACAAAATAAACCAAGAAGCTTCTGAATCCTCTGTAGAAACCACAACCTTTATATTCCCTCTACAATTATGTACAATTAGACTTTATACAAGTAAAGCAGTGATGCTCTCCTCACAGCGCTCTGTGTGGGTGTGTGATTGTGTGTGTGTGACTGTGCGTGTGTGTGAGAGTGTGTGTGTGTGTCCTAGGTGGAGCTGCTCTTGGAGAGGTTTGGGTAGAGGACGGCTGCCGTCACGGCGACCATCACTGCGATGACCGGCATCCAGGGGCTCCAGCCTCTCTGTGAGGGGGAGAGACAGAGAGAGAGAGAGACAGAGAGAGAGAGAGACAGAGAGAGAGAGACAGAGAGAGAGACAGAGAGAGACAGAGAGAGAGAGAGAGAGACAGAGAGAGAGAGACAGAGAGACAGAGAGAGAGACAGAGAGAGACAGAGAGACAGAGCGAGACAACAAAGAAAATCACGTTAGTCTGCGTCGTCGTGTCCGAACTTTCCGACACACACCGGATGAAAGATTAAAACCAGAAAAGAGAGAATGAAGGAGGAGTGACGAAGTCAAGAAGAAGTGCAGAAAACGGAAGATAAAAGAAAAGTCAAGACTCTGAAGCCCCAAAAGATATTTCTTTTAAACATAATAAATAAACATTGTGTCATTTAAAAAGCAGAGCCTTTTAACTCCGCCGAGAAGATTTTATTAAGTATTGAACATGTTTTCAATAACATGAATAAAAACAGAGTTGTGATTTATCAAACGTTTATCTGCACAAGAGAATATAAAGTGATGTAGAAATGGCAGTAAAAACGTTAATTCACGCACAAATTAGCTCTCTTCACAATTTATATATAAGATAGTTGGTAATGTTTAAAAAGTGGATGTTTGGGAAACACGGCTTCATCCTTCTGAAGCTCAACTTATGTAACTTTCTTCTTTTCTTTCCTCCTGTACATCCCTCACAACCACGTTATACTACCGTTACTAATAAAAGCTCTGACATCTGTCGTCCTTTTATCAGCTCGTCAGTTTCTGTGTTTCTTAAGTTAAGAAAAATCCTAATTCTCTCTTTTAAAGTGTCTTTGTGCATCAAATCAAAGCTGCATGTTGAAGTATACGAGGTTTATAGTAAATACTGTCGTTCCAACAACTCGTGCACACACGGTAAAGACTTTAATATTGAACAATAAAAAAATGAATGAAAAAAAACATCTTTTGGGGCTTCAGGAGAGGAAAGAAGTAAATGAATAAACATAAGAGGCGGCAGCAAAGGAAACGAGGCCAAGGAGATCACCTGAGTAGAAAAAACAAACACAGAAAAGTTACAGAGTACCGTAGTTCTTCTTCACAGCAAACATCTGGAAACACCGGTCAGACATTTACCAACGAAACACACAAGCAGCAAACACGACACGATGGATGCTTAACAACATAATGAAGAAACTCCAAAGAAAGACTTGAGGATGAAAAGATGGATGAGTCCGCGTGAACACAACACACCTGTAAGCAGGTAAAGGAATAACATGTTTAAAAGATGAATAGCTGAGATTAAGCAGCAGACTGGATGCAAGAAAAATGAACCACAAACCCTGTCGCAAGACGGAGGAAATGATGCATCAAATTAAAAGATAAATAAAGTAAAAAGCAGCTTCACCCTGAGAGTGAGCGCTGTAAAGAGACAGTTAATGAACGAATGAATGAGGTCGGAGGAAAGAGTTAGTAACCGACTGTAGAGATGACGGGATGTGAAGAGCTCGACTCTTTAAAGGGGAAACTTAAATAAACTCCGTTAGCTTCATGCTAACAGCTCGTTCACTGGGTGGAAAGGAAACCTTTTAACGGTGGTGTTTAGACCTTTCAGACCATCGTCAGAGTTTTGCTTTTAATCAAAACAAATGTTAACAATTCTGCATTTTTTGTTAGAGTTTCATTTTGAGGGGGGAAGAATTGTTGTTTCCTCTCTTTGATATTCATATAACTGAATAATCTCTCACCTCAAACTAACCGTCAGAAAGGCTGAATCAGGGCAGACGGTTTGGTAAAAGGGTAACTCTGGTGGCATTTTCTTTTTTAT